TGGGGGGACGTGGTTGGAGGCCACCGCTTAAGACAGTAGCTGCCAGAAGGGAACGGATGGTATTACCAAAAAAGAGATGTACAAGTGCTAATACCCTTGTACCTGTGAATGTGACTTTCTTCAGAAATAGGGCCTTGAGGAGAGACCTTGAGACCTTGAGGAAAGATTCTCATCCTGGATTGATGGTGGGCCCTAAATCCATGACAGGCTTATGAGAGAAAGGAGAGGGAGATTCAAGGCACAGAGGGGAGAAAGACTGTGTGAAGACAAGCAGAGATTGGAGGGCAGCCCCAAGCAGGGGAACAGCAAGGATGGCAGCAGTCGCCGGAAGCTGGAAGAGAGGCCTGGAATGGCTTCTCCCTCAGGGCCTCAGAAAGGAGCCAACCCTACTGACCCCTTGATTTCAGGCTTCTAACCTCCACAACTGTGTGAGAATCACTTATTTCTGCAGTCTTAAGCCACCAGTTGGTGGTAATTTGTGACCCTAGCCCTAGGAAACTAATGAAGAATGAATGGGCAGACAGAAGTGCTGGCTGGAAGCAGGAGGAGGTGAGGAGCCTGGTGTTTCCAACCCCGCCCCCACCTCCTGCAGGGACCGTCTTCCCTCCCCTTCCACCAGTGCCCAGGCTCAGCCTTTCATGCGCTTCAGACCCTGACTTGGAGGCCCCCCACCGCCTCGCCACTGTTCCACATCTCCTCAGTACTTGCTTCCCTGCCAGGCCTGCTTTCAAGAGCATTTACTTGGGACCATGAGCTAAGTGGTTAGGAGCTGTCATCTACATTTTCTCTCCTGCAACACCGCTGTCTTCTCCCTCTCCTATCTTTCTTATCTATGGAAGTGCTTTGTACACAGTGGGTGCTTAATAAGTGTTATTTATTCTCTCTTCAGAGTCCCCTAAACATTGCCCTGCTCCTTCCCCTGCTGCGGCTGAATTTATGCCAAAACCTTGTCACAGGCGAAGATAATGTCCCCCTTTGTATCAGTGTGGTGTGTCCCCCTCCCACATGGCACCCTGGGCCCCAAGTTCCCTGAAGGAACTTGGCAATGTAAGCATCACCCCCATGTGTCTTCTAATCTCACTCTTGGCACTAATTTGTGTGTAAACTCGGACAAGTCAAGGCACCTCTGCTCCTCAGTTTCCTGTCAAGTAAAACATAAGGATTGGAGCAGGTTCATTCATTACCCCATTTATACAAAAACCACTGTTGAGACTATTTGTCTAAGTCCCATGAATTCAAGGGTGAACAAGATTTCAAGGAGCTCAAGGATCATACATACAAGCAGACAGGAGGAGAGGTTAAAATGCGCCAGGGTGTTACGGGGCAAGGGGGCTCTGAGGAGGGGATGGCCAGAGCACTGGGGGGGGAAGGGGGGCTGAGAAAGGCTTCATGGGAGAAGTGATGCCTAAAGCTGCCCGTCTTCAGGATCCTTCCAGCTACAACATAGGCTTTCTTTCTAGGGACACGGGTTTTGGGTCAATATAAGGAAGACTCTTCTAACAGAACTAAAAGGAAGGCCTGCTATTGGAAGTCACCTCCAGCCAGGCGGTGACAGGTACAAGCATCCTAAGAGCCACTACAAGGGGTATATATTGACAGAAGGACCAGTGTTTTTTAAAATTTTTATTCATCTGGCGGGGCTCAGGGAGCATGAGCAGGGAGCGGGGCAGAAGGAGAGGGAGAAGCAGACTTCCCGCTGAGCAGGGAGTCTGGAGCAGGGCTCGATCCCAGGACCCTGGGATCAGGACCAGAGCCGAAGACAGATGCTTAACTGATTGAGTCACCCAGGTGCCCCCAGTGTTTCTTTTTCCACATCAAGATAAGTGTGGAGATTTAATTTACACTTAGCTCTTTGGGGACAAAGAGCTCTGGTATGAACATTTCACATCAAATCTGAGTTAAACCTCACAAACGGCCTCCCTGGCCAACTGAGGCGACAAGCAAAAGGCAAGCGAAGGAAACGGTTCAGATACCATAATTTTATTATTTTCTCCTGTCAGTCATGGACCGGGAAGGTGATGCCAGGAAAAGGAACAGACTCGGACCCTGGGCAGCTTGAAGGGGCTGAGGCCAGAGGGGCTGTGTGTGGTGGTGGGTATCTGCCCTCAGTCGCTTGAGGGAAATCTCTGGGGCCGGGTGGCACAGGGTGGTTTCTAGATGGGTGAACAGTGTCCCAGAGATGTGACAACGGTTGGACTAAATGGAACAATTGGAGTCTGATGAGGAGAGAGGTCTGGGGAGGTCTGAGAAGGGTCGTGAATGAATCCTGTCTGAAGACAGCAAGCCACACAGCCCTTCTGCTTCTCGCCCGCAGAAGCAGGCCCTGCTTTCCCTCCAGCGGCCACCGGGAGGCAGCAAAGCGCTTGCGTGAAATCCAGCTCTCGGGAGCAAGGCTAGGTCTTGGGCTAGTCCCAGGAGGGCTAGGGAGGGAAAGGCAGAACCTTTTGAAATAAGGGTATCTGTGGGTTCCTGACTCCCCCGGGAGGAAGAATCAAGATTCCTGGGGCTTCCTCAGACAACACAGGAGCCACACACGTGCCTGGGAATTGGGGCAGGAGTCCGGGGAATTCCCTGTGCCTCCCGGGACCCCAGGAGGATCCCAGGAGAGGATCTCTTGATCTGCCTTCCTCCTGGCAGGAAACCTCCGACCTGACATCACAGATGATCAGATTCCTGGCTGCCTCGAGCTCTATAAAATCCAACCTACCCCTTCCTTGGCCCAGCCCCTCCCCTGCCAAAAATGTGAGGGCCCACAGGTTCTCCTTCTCCTCAGCAGGTTGTGGCACCTGCTTAGCTTTGGTTTCTCAGTTTCTCCTAATCCTGCATTCCTGTTCCTCCGCCCTTCCTCCTTCAAAGGCCCAGCCAGGTGTTCCTGGGCTCCTCCTGGCCTGAGTTGGGGGCGGGGAGGTGGTAAGCAGGGCTCCCAGCCCCAGCTCTGCTGCTGGCTCAGCGTGTTCTGGATCCCTCAGGGGCCTCTCACAGGACAGTCTGCGGCATACTGTCCCTGCTTCCAGAATGCCAAGTTGCCCAGTCACATTGTTTGTTGCTGAGGGCTTACCTCCTTCCCTCAACCTTTCAGAGCTCAGCCCCAGATCGGCTTCTCAAGCCTATTTCTGCATAAACTGTCCTAGGGAGAGGAGAACTTGGACAAGAGGATTCTGGGAAGCATGACCAAGGCCTGGGCTGAATGACCCTTTTGGAACTGGAGAGGAAGTGAACTGACCTTGGAGGAAAGGTGGCAACTGGACCCAGAAGTCAGGGGAAATGTGTTCTGGTCCCTCTCCCTGCACTGCCCAGGCCGAGGTCTTCCATCTCATTAATCTGGAAACTACTCGCAACTTAATACCATGAGCCCTTCGGCAGTGAGGCTGGGAATCAGCCACCAGAATCCTGCTTCCCAGCTTGTGTCTAGAAGGTGGAAACGACAGAGTACAAAATTTGGTGGTGGTAGTGGGGGGAAAGGGGGAGCCAGGGGGGACACAGAAGACAACAAATCCTCTGGAGACCTAGGATGTCTGGCCTGACCACCCGGTCTCATTGCAGCCCCAGTCTAGTAGGTGAGCTGTATGCCCTTGGTCTTGCTCCCAATCCTCTTGACCACTTCAGCTTTGCCCTCTGTGATCAGCATGTGCAGACGACTGCCTTTATAGGATTGCTTTAATGGACTGATTTAGACCAGCACACAGTAGGCATCCAGCCATGCTCCCAGTTGCCTTTGTCTCATGCACAAACACTACCATCCGTTCTTGCTTCCCTCTTTCCTCAAATGCCCAAGGGGGAACAAAATTTCAAATGCTTCTGCAATATTTCTTGAAAGCTAAAAACAGGAAGGGTGGAGAAGGAAGAGTCAAAACAGATTGCTAACATACCTAGTCACTCTCTCCAAGGGCAAAAGAGCCCCCAGCACGGGGAAGAGAGGTGAGCCCTGGAGGGAGAGGCCAAGGGAAGGTCCAGGTATCTGAACCTCCCTGACCCCACCCGGTAACTTTCCACCGCACCGGCGCAGAGCTGGCTGCGAGGTGCGGCTGCACACTTCCCCCTGGTATGGCCCCATCGTACCCTCCCCTGCAGGGGGCTGGGGGGCTGACGTACACCCTGCTGGAGTCTCAGCGGCCTGGAGGCTGATAAGGAGACCCGACCTCATCACATGGGACCAGCTGGAAGGACCGGCTCTGGCTGTTAGCATCAGCTGAATGGCTTCCAGAGTCAAGAGATAAGGAGATAAGGAATTAAGGGGGCGCTTAGGATTCTGGGCTGAGTGGCCAGAGAAGCCAGGGGGAGGGACATGGGCACTGCCAACTGAGGCCTCAGGAGGCCTGGCTTAGGGATCCACCAGCACAGGGCAGCAGTGGATGGGGGAGAGTTTAGGAAAGAAGTGTGGAAAGGCCTCAGGGCAGGGCAAGATTCCCTCCCAGTGGGGCTAGTTCAGCAGCTAGTATAACCCTTCCTCTCTATCGGAGCATCCAATCCTCTAGGGTCCACGCACTCCATTCAGCCTCAGGCCGATGTTGGGGGACAGCCCAGGGGGTCCAGGGAAGAGGGTGAGAGGAAGTCAGTCCTGCCAATTTCAAATGCGCCCCCCCCCCCCCCCAACAGTGAGATGCAGGGCTGGGTGACTTGGTGTTACTACAAAGCCCACACCTCCCAGAGGACCACCTGCCCCCCATCTCCCTTACAGCCCCTGGACAGGTCTGCTGTCCCCACCTCCTGCCCCAACAGAGCTCTTTCATGACCCAGGAGGGTAAACCAAGGCAAGTGCAGATGGTTCTGTCTTCCTGTCCCTCTTCCACGGGCCATAGGGCTCAAGTGCCTAGAATATGCTGCTAGTCTCAAAGTTGCCAGGATGGGCAGCCTGGGACAACCATTGGGTCGATCCACATCACCCCACCTGCAGAACAGCCTCACTTTCTCTCCCAGCTTCCTCACACCCCCTTATAAGTGTCAATGCCTGATTTAGAAGGAAAGAACAGAGGACAGTGACACAGTCACTGTGTACACAGGACAGTGTACCCCACACAGCTGGGGCAGCCTTAGGAGGAACCTCGGTGGGGTATAAACTTCAGCTACGGTCCTGAGATCTCTTTCCCACCTCTGGAATCCTGCTGGACTCCTCCCACTCATCCCTTTGGTCCTCAAACCCAGAGGAGCCTCCAGTCTTGACTGTCCACTTCAGGAGATGTAAGTGGGAGGAAGGAGCAGCACAGAGGGGGAGGGTGTGACCTCAGTTCCGTGGGGACCCTAATGCTGGGGTACAAGCTACAGAGGGTGAGGACAAGCATCGGGCTGAGGGGAGGCCAAAGGATGGGCTGACAGCTAGTTTCACATCTGGGCTTGCAGGAGAGTACAGGGAGGGACAGAGGACCAGCAAGGGGGACACTCTTGTAAGGAAGGAAGGAAGGAAGGGCTCCTCATTCCCGGTTGGTGCCAAAAAGCTGCAGGAAGAAGGTGAAGATGTAGATGATGTCTAGGTAAATGTTGAGGGCTCCAAAAATATACTCCTCGGGGCTCAGTGAGTGGCGTCGGTTACCCATCAGCAACTGGGTGTCGAATGCCAGGAACTGAGGGAAGGGGGAAGAGAGAGAAGTCAGAAGGTCCAGCATCTGTGACATCGACCAAGGGGGCACAGTGTCCCCATCTGGGCCCCCCCCCATCAATTTTGCTACCATCATTTGCTGCTTGGCTGCTCAGTGACCCTCCTGGAATAGCCCAGAATCTGGAACTTTCCCAACACCTTCCATCCCTAATTAACACCTATCTCCCCAAGCACCTACTATGTGCAAAGCACAAGGAAATAGTCAAGAACAAGACAGACAAGGGCGCCTGGGTGGCTCAGTCATTAAGCGTCTGCCTTCAGCTCAGGTCATGATCCCAGGGTCCTGGGATTGAACCCCGCATTGGGCTCCCTGCTCAGTGAGGAGCCTGCTTCTCCCTCTGCCTCCCCCCTGCTTATGTTCCCTCTCTTGCTGTGTCTCTCTCTGTCAAATAAATAAAGTCTTCAAAAAAAAAAAAACAAAAACAAAAAAAAACAAAGAATAAGACAGACAAGATCCCGGCCTTAGAGTCTAGAGTGGAAGTAATCATTACTACGAGTGAAATCAAGGAGAAATGGGAATTGTCCCAGGAGGGTAGCTAATAATAAGGAACTTGACCTATGTGAGTGTGGCAGGGAGTTCGGGAAGGCTTTGAGCTGAGGCCCAGTCTCCTTGCCATTGCCGCAGGGCCCTGCTTTTAGCAGATGAACAAACGCTTCATTTAACAGTGAGCAGAGGCATTTATTCTGTGTTGTGTAGACATTAGCCCACTTAGTCCTAATAACATCCCTAAAGTAGGGATTATTCCTAGAGGAAACCATGGCCCAGAGATGTTAAGTTCTTGCCTGAGGTACAGAGCTGGGAAGCAGCAAAACTAGGATTTGAACCTGAGCAGCCTAGCTCCAGAGGCCCCAGGTTTAGCCATTCTGTTCCACTGTTCGGGAATAGCACCGGGGGTAAGTGTGTCTCCTGACAGGACAAGCCTTCTCCCCAGGGCACCTTCTTGGCCTAACAGACTATGAACAGTGATTCCCTTGGGTACAGCTCTTTGCTGCCCTGCTGCTGCCCCGCCCCCTGCACCAGGTCTTCCTACCACCTACACTGACTCAAGCTCCTCCCACTTGGCAATTCTCTGGGGTCCAAGCACAGGAAGCAGAACCCCCTAGAAACAGATGATGCTTCACAGGCATAGTGTAGTTTTTGGGGAGAAGGAAACCCAAAAGTTCCACCAATGTCTCAAAGGTCATGAACTGGCCCACCTGGGATTGGAATTCTTTAAATCCATTCACATTCTTGCTAACTGGGCTGTGCCCTGCTCTTCCGTCACTCGTGTGTGGAAGACCTGTGTACCTTGGGTCCTCTGGAACATTCATTATGCAATAAATAGGTATGGGGCAAGAGCTGGTGCTGGCCACTTGCTGGCAGAGTCCCCACCATGCCGTGCCTGCCTTCCGGGGCTCATTGCTTCGTAGGGTGATTACAATAAAACTCAGTAAATGCCATCATTAGGGCAGATTGAGCGGAGGAAGGTGGGCCAGGAGAGGTGACATTTTACCTGGAGCTTGAAGGGCAAGTAGGAGTTTGCTAGACTGAGAAGGCCTGGGGAGGTGCGGGCTATGGTGTGAAAAGTGAGGAATTCCGCATGGTGGGGGCAGGGGGCAAGGGGATGGAGGGAGAGGAACTAGAGCCCTGGGGCCAGAGGTTCCTATAGGGAGCATCTTCCCCATCCGGGACATCAAGTCACGACTCCCTGGAACGTGGGGAGGTGGGGGTGGTTATGAGCACGGGCTTGAAAATCAGCCCCAAATGAATTGCGGCCTCAACTCCACTCCTCACTAACTTTGAGCGCCTGGGCAAAGCGGTGTCCCTGAGCTCTGAGCACACATCAGGAAAGGGGAGACAAGTGGGCTTGCCTCCTGAAGTTGCGAGGAGGAAGAGGCACACAAAGGGCCTGGCCTGGTGCCTGACACATGGCAAGAACCTAATGACCACTAGCTCCTAGTGTGGGTTTGTAGTTATCTGCAGAAGCAGGGGTGCCCCCTTGACAGCTTGTCATAGGCGGCTGCAGAGTCCCAGGTGTCCCATCAAGGAGGCCCATCAAGGAGGAGGAAACGTTACTAGGGGACGCTGTGTAGGCTTAACAGAAGGAATGGGGTGGGTGGGGTGATGACTGAGGAGGGGCTGAGGGGGGGTCTTGTGCGGCACAGGTCAGGCTCCCTGAGCTCAGCAGCATTGAGGGGAGGATGCAGGAGCACCCGGGACTGGAGTCAGAACACTTGTATTTGAGCTCTGGTTCCATCCCCCCGTAGCCGTCCCCTCCTGACCTCAGTGTCTTCATCTGCAAAATGGGACAGCAGCTATGACCACACTGTGGTGTGGTGTTCAGGGTAGATGTATGAATGCGTGTGGCTTCAACCATTCTCATTTCGCTCTGCTCCTTTGGATTTGGGATTGGATTCCCACGGAAGTTTGCCCTCTCCAGAGAGAATGAGCAAGGAGAGGGACTGACTCGAATGCTACAGGCTGCTTAGTGGTCATGCTGCCAGCAGAAGTTAATAAATTGCTGATCTGGCTTATCAATCAGTGGCTTGCTTCGTTGATTTCTCAGAGCCCGGTCACTCCTGGGTGAGCTAATGAAATTAAATCTCTCAACCTAGAAGGCTTGGACCTGACCAAGTACGGTGGGTGCAGGGCACTCCTCCAAGGAACCCCCACCCAGGAGGCCTCCTAGAGCAGCCCGCAGGCTTTGCTCGTGCAGAAAAGAGGAATGAAATGATTTCTACTCCTGCCCTTGGCCTGTGGCCATGGATGCTTATCAACGTGGGATAACCTGCCCCAGATTTCAATTGCACTGCCTGGTACCACCCAGCATGGCAGCCTCACACCTGTAAGTCAGCTGACAGCTTTTCACTCATTAGTCCCAACAATATTTATCGAGCACCTACTATGTTCCGGGGAGCTTGCCTTTAGATAACCGAAGGTCTAATGAAAGCAAATGATCAGAGATTCCTTTAGGAGCATGTACTCATTGCAGGGGAAAGGAACCTGATGACCTTGGGTGATGGTGAGCAGTGTTGACTAACATCTTGGTTGAGAGCAGCTATGTTGGTCATAGCTAACGTCTTGGTGCCTAAGACCTGAGTTGAGCGCTAACAGCCAGGTTGACCGCTGATGCCTAAAAGGTCCCAGCTAGAGCCAGGGGGGACTAGGAGGCTACTAACTTAGCCCTGAGTCGCCCTCTCACACACTAATCCTTTCTCTCGGCTCACTCTTAGGAGGTGGGTGTTATTATCACTATTTTACATACGAGGCATCTCTGAGCAAGAGAGTGGCTTGCTAATGATCATTTCCCTAGTGCTGGGTCCAGACCATCTGTCTCCCACTTTGATAGAGAAGCAGGTCGGGGGTGGGGCGGGGGGGCGCTGGCCGAGGCGGCTGGGCACAGAGGGCAGAGGAGCCAAAGGCCAACTTGCCTCAACTTGCCTCGTCCACCCTGTTGGCCAAGCTGGACCTGGTCAGGGCCCCCTGGCCACACACCTGGCCTCAGCCTGCTGTGTCCAGGACCTAGGCTTATGTTTGCTGTCCTCCCAGAGGACATGGGGAGCCATGCCATGCAGAGGCCCACTCAGAGCCATCAAGAAACAGGCACTGAGTACAAAAAGCTGGGGTTACCATGTGTTGAATCAGCAGAACAAAATAACACATGGATGACATCTATCCTACAGAAATGGCGGCGTGAGTGTGCAAAGCAGCACATGCCCCATGGCGCAGCATGGTTCTAACAATGAAGAACTGGAAACCCCAAACACGCAACCAGGGTTGGTTAAATAAACTGTGGGCAGCAGTACTGAGGCAGAAACAGCTCTGAAATAGGCTTTCATGAGAAAAGAACAAGCTGCAGAAAAATCTACATCATAAAATCCCCTTTCTGTAACAACAACAACAAAAACCTGCACAAAACCATGTCATAGAAGTCTAGCTAGCAGATACCTATAAAATGCATACAGAAAGATCTGGGATCTTTTTTTTTCTTTCTTTCTTTTTTTTTTTTTAGTTGATTTTTTTAAATTTATTTTTTATTTTTATTTTTTATAAACATATAATATATTTTTATCCCCAGGGGTACAGGTCTGTGAATCGCCAGGTTTACACACTTCACAGCCCTCACCCCAGCACATACCCTCCCCAATGTCCATAACCCCACCCCCTTCTCCCAACCCCCCTCCCCCCAGCTACCCTCAGTTTGTTTTGTGAGACTACGAGTCACTTATGGTTTGTCTCCCTCCCAATCCCATCTTGTTTCATTTATTCTTCTCCTACCCCCTTAACCCCCCATGTTGCATCTCCACTTCCTCATATCAGGGAGATCATATGATAGTTGTCTTTCTCTGATTGACTTACTTCGCTAAGCACTATACCCTCTAGTTCCATCCACGTCGTCGCAAATGGATTGGAAGAATAAATATTGTGAAAATGTCTATGCTACCTAAAGCAATCTACACATTTAATGCAATTCCTATCAAAATACCATCCATTTTTTTCAAAGAAATGGAACAAATAATCCTAAAATTTATATGGAACCAGAAAAGACCTCGAATAGCCAAAGGAATATTGAAAAAGAAAGCCAAAGTTGGTGGCATCACAATTCCGGACTTCAAGCTCTATTACAAAGCTGTCATCATCAAGAGAGCATGGTAATGGCACAAAAACAGACACATAGATCAATGGAACAGAATAAAGAGCCCAGAAATAGACCCTCAACTCTATGGTCAACTAATCTTCGACAAAGCAGGAAAGAATGTCCAATGGAAAAAAGCCAGTCTCTTCAACAAATGGTGTTGGGAAAATTGGACAGCCACATGCAGAAAAATGAAATTGGATCATTTCCTTACACCACACATGAAAATAGACTCAAAATGGATGAAAGACCTCAATGTGAGAAAGGAATCCATCAAAATCCTTGAGGAGAACACAGGCAGCAACCTCTTCGACCTCAGCCGCAGCAACATCTTCCTAGGAACATCGCC